TGCGCACCTGTTCCTCCTCCTGAGGGTTGAAGTCATTCTTGATGTTGAATGTCTTGCGGATCTCCTCCGGGGTCTTGCCTTTGATCATATTCGCCACTGTCTTACACGTCACGTCCAACAGACCTATGAGTGCACACAAAACATATCATTAGACACATTGCACACATCAGACACACCACACGCTCATGCAGTCACACAAAGACATCGTCTCAATGGTAACCATTGATGACATAAACACACCACACAGTAATCTCTGTGATAGACCTCACATCGACACACACTCTCCAAGACATCATTATCTCAGTGACTATACCTCTGATGCTTAACATACCACACACTCAAAGACTCATACCATTGATGCCAAACATACAACACATCAGACATCAGTGTCTACGCGATAGAGACCACACACCACGTGTACACCACATCAGACCCACACTCACACGCACACAACAACACCATTATCTCAGTCACCATACCATCGATGGTAAACACACCACACACTGGACACCAATCTCTCCGATTGTTGCCACACATGAGACCCACACTCAGACTCACACACAGACAAAGAGGCCATTATCTCTCGCACGCATACCTTTGATGTCGAGGTAGTTGGCGGCGAGGATCAGCTCAAAGAGAGTACCCTGGTCAACCTTGAGGAAGTCTGCGTCCCAACTGCTGATGTCATCCGTGCGCTTCTCCTTATTCTCGTCGTCATCAGGGGTCGGCGGGTCGTCCTTATGATAGGTGGCCCACTGGATCACCTTCTTGAGGATCGTCGAGTTCACGTTCGGGAGGGGCACCACCTCCTCGTCCTCCTCGTCCATCCCGAGGTCCTCGAGCATCGTCTTGATGGTCACCGACAGCTTCGCGATCTCCACGTCCACGTCAAACACCTCCCCGTCCGATGACTGCAGCTTTATGTTGGGCATTGTCTCTGCGGTGGTAGTGGTGGTGATCAGCGCCGATCAGTTGATGATCAAGTGGTGGCCAAAGAGTGAGTTGTTTTACCACTGATTCGTACGTCTGTTTCAATCGGTTTTGCGTTTTGTTTGGTTTCGACTGTCGTTTCCGAGCACTGAATATACGTTTGACTCCACAATGCGCTCAACACTACAATGCGTACAATGCCTCCGATTTCATCACGAATTATTCGTAACGTTATTTGCGAACGCAATGCACTGGCAATGACTGTCAGCTTTTTGTTCGCTCAAAAGGGCGTATTTACTTCAGTGAATTTTGGTACCTTTTGATAGTGTTGTTACGCGTGAGATATATGAGAATTTTAATTTAAAAAGGGACTAAATGTGCACCGAATGGGCTATAAAACGGCCCCAAAAAATTGATTTTTCAATTTGCAATGTATTCGGAGTTCAGCGCCAATACAGTGCTTACGACTAATTTGTAGTCATTTTCCATTAGAAACTCACGGTTTGTTAGAACAATATATAGTAAGTGGTCGTTAAGTTTAAAGTTCACGTACAGTCACGCGTCGCTATAATGCACACTACACTCACGAACGCGAGAGATAAGCCAGAGATAAGCCGGCATTAAGCCAATGGCTTATCAGCTCGTGATACGCTCATAGAGGCCTATTCATGAGGGATATATTAGACGTGCGGTGACTGTATGGCCGGCAATGGGTCAGTAGTGGCGTCGTGCGTGCAGTGTTAGCGCCATTTGCGTTGGCATTGGTATCGCTATACGAGAGGCGTATTGATATTGTGTGAAGCATTGGATACCCTATCGAAACAGTATTACTGCCTGTGATTGGAGTCTATGAGTGAACCACACATTGAGTATAGCGTTGAGTGCAAGTCAATAGGCATTGAATAGTGAATGCATTCATAGACTGACTGCACATCTGATTTGCAAAACCCGTTGACACTAACAGTCAGTCCAGTGATTGCGGCGCTAATCGCGTACCCAATGGTCTAATAAATTATTTATTTATATATCGTTTTATTTATTGTGTGTTTAATGCGCGCACCGATGGGACAGTCGTGTTGTTGTTGTCGATGAGGAGTGTGGCGTCAAACCAATCGATACTGAAATCCGTGTGAAGAACACAACCATTACTTAAGCCGTGGAAGCGATCGACCGCTCGTTTCATTGGACTCATCGGTGTCTGTGTGTAGTGTCGACCACAACCTCACCGCCCATTATCTCATAGACATACCGCTGAAGACACGCATCCAGTGTAAGCACACGAGTGATAGCTATGGCGACGGCGGGACACACGGGACAGACATTGAACGATAGGCTGAACGCCGCGCGGTATGCGTTGGCCGGCCAGGGGTTGGCGCGAGTGGTATGTAAGGCGACCACTGAGGAGGTAGAGTGATAGCTATGGCGACGGCGGGACACACGGGACAGACATTGAACGATAGGCTGAACGCCGCGCGGTATGCGTTGGCCGGCCAGGGGTTGGCGCGAGTGGTATGTAAGGCGACCACTGAGGAGGTGAGCGGACCCAAGAAGAAGCACTTGGATTATCTCCTGCAGTGCACTCACGAGCCGAACGTATCGATACCCCAATTGGCGAACCTATTGATCGAGCGGACCAACCATTCCTCGTGGGTAGTGGTGTTCAAAGCGCTGGTGACGGTCCACCATCTCATGTGTTATGGGAACGAGAGGTTCACGCAATACCTGGCCTCCAGTAACTGCACGTTTCAGTTGAGCAACTTCTTGGACAAGCAGGGGGTCAAGGGGTACGAGATGTCCACGTTCATCAGGCGCTACGCCAAGTATCTCAACGAGAAGGCCCTCTCCTACAGGACAGTGGCCTTTGATTTCACCAAAATTAAGAGAGGGTATGAATTTGTGGCGTGTGTTTTTGTGACATCCATTTCCCTCCCGTTCCCTATCGCACCCGTAGACGAATGTGTATGTGATGTACGGGAGTTCCCAATGTCTGTGCGTTTGTGTCCAACGCTAACCACTTTCCCGATCGTTGGGGTTATGATTAGTATTTAAATTTAGTTTTGATATCCGTTTGCCTCCCCTTCCGCTGACTTCTATGTAAATACACGAGTGTGTGGTTACATCCCTTTCCATACTAGTGGTGCATCGATGTGTCCAACTTTCCACCCGTCGATGAGGTGTTCATTAGTGTTTAATTTTAGTTTTGACATCCATTTCCCTCCCCTTCCGTAATAGACTTCTGTGTAAATATTACACACGACTGTGTGTTGTCATCCCTTTCCCCACTGGAGCTGCACTTTCGGATGTGTCCAACTTTCTAATCCCTTTCCCCTCCCCGTAGATGAGGTGTTGATTAGTATTTGATATAATTTTTGTTTTATTTTTTATATAATGAACTGAAAATGTTTTTTTAGTTATTTTTGATTGAATTATATAAATCTGTTGACACTTGCAATGAATGCATAGCTATTTAAGTGAAGGCTTTTTAGTTGAGAAATGTGTGCACATTATGAACACAAAAAACACTAAAACCAATACTAATTGCAATTACGATCGGTTTAATTGGGAAATGTATTTCTGACGGACAAACACACAATTCATTTATTATACGATTTAATAGTCAATGAAATTTGATAGGCTTTCCAGGCGTAAGCCTATCATTAATTTCTATCGTGTGATTAGAAAACAATAGTTGTATTGTTTAGTGAGAAATAAAATTTATGTGTTGATTGGTGTCAATTGAATGGTTGTTGTATATAGTTTTGTTGAGTGTGCGTTAATACATGTCTGGTCTGTCTGTCCCCTCCTATAGCAAAGAGGACGGGTCGCTGCGGTCGATGAATACCGACAAACTGATCAAAACGATACCGACCCTACAATCGCAAGTGGATTCCCTACTCGAGTTTGACTGCAACGCCAATGATTTGACGAATGGTGTGATAAACGCGGGCTTTATGTTACTCTTCCGAGATCTGATCCGTCTGTTTGCCTGTTATAACGACGGGATTATCAACTGTTTGGGTATGGAATCGATTTAAGTGACTATTTGATGGTTACTTTTGGTGATAATTAATGGTTTACTGTTTTGTTTGTAGAGAAATACTTCGATATGAATAAAAAGCAGGCCCGGGAGGCGCTCGATATATACAAAAAGTTTTTGATTCGTATGGACAAAGTGTCCGAGTTTTTAAAGGTGGCCGAGAATGTGGGCATCGATAAGGGCGAGATAACTTCGATATGAATAAAAAGCAGGCCCGGGAGGCGCTCGATATATACAAAAAGTTTTTGATTCGTATGGACAAAGTGTCCGAGTTTTTAAAGGTGGCCGAGAATGTGGGCATCGATAAGGGCGAGATACCGGACCTCACCAAAGCGCCCAGTAGTCTGTTGGACGCACTCGAGCAACATTTAGCACAATTGGAGGGCAAAAAGGGACAGTCCTCGTGAGTACACATACACCCGTTCCCTCCCTTTCACTCCCGTTCCTATCGAGAGAACTGTAGGTTCGAGAACAGTAGTGTTGAGTAGGTTTTGGTATTTGGAGTTTGTTTGAGAGTTTATTAGAAAATTAACACATGTTTTACGTCTAATGAATTTATTTATTGCTGTCGTATATGGAGTGAAGTATTTATTGATGTTTAGAAATGCAGTTTTAAAATCAACTGCACGTCTGAAGGGCTGACTAAACGCATACCAGTGCTCGACGAGATCTGCTATTTAATACATTAGCGTTTGATATAAAACATTAAAATGTTTAGCAAAGTATTAATAGTAAATACTTAACTTACGTGTTTGAAAACACATGAAAATTTATGGTTTATGTGGCATACAAACTCACTGAGTAACTTACTTATCATTACTTTCACACTAAATAATTACTCAAAAAACAACACAAAAGATTACATCCAGTACATCGCAGCCGACAAACGGCACGACCGCTAATGGATCGGTTCCGAGCGACTCGTTCAACGGCGCCGTCAAAGACCCCGAAAGCGCTTCCGTAATGAAAGCCCTCGAAGAAGAGGAGCGAATGCTTAACCAATTGAAGGTATGGCTGATGATATGATTTTGGTTTTTTGTTATGTTTTTTGTCGATTAGTTTGCTTTTTGTATGCACTCATGTTTGCATGCTTTTGGCTTTTGGTATACTTTGAGGTGACGGTGTATTTTGCATCTAATATAACATATTTTATTTGCATTTTTTGGTTGTTTTTGTCTTTACTGATCAATGTTTGCATCGATTTCTCGTTATGTATTAAATGCCTGTCCAATGCCTGCCATTAGATTAATAGTAACGCTGTTGAGTCTGACTCACCATTTGTGTGGATACAAGAGAATTGGTTGGATTTGGTTAGTAGTAGTCATAAGACTTTTTTGATTGCATTTTCTCCATAACTTACTAACACTTGATTATCATAATCGTAAAAATGATTTTAATTTTTCCATTAATGGCTAATGATTTTGAAAAGCACTGGTAGTCTTGTAATGTTTGCCTATGAAATGCAATTATCTGTATTGATATACTAATTGTGTGTTGACTCTGTGTGCCGGTGCTGTGCGCGTGTAGGAGAAGCACATGCAGGACAAGGATGGCGGCGGAGCCAAAGCCAACAACCCGTTCCTCGCGATGTCGCCCACGGCTGAGTCCAAGACGTCGCCCACAGCCGACAAAAGTCAGGGATTATTAGATTTTTTCAATGACTCGCACGATTCCACGCCTATTAGTACTAACCGCGCGCTGCCTACCGGTCCCCCACACGCAGGCAAAGCCAGCGACGATCTATTGTTCCTGACGTCGGCCAACCCGTTCGCCGACATACTGAACGCCGCCATTAGTAACGCACCGCCGATGACACAGACGCCGTTTGGCACGTCGATGGCGCCGGTGATGGGTCAGCCACCGCAGCAACAGTCGATGGGTCAGCCCTCGATGGTGCCGCGCATACAGAGCACCGGCCCCTTCAACGGGATGCCCACGAATGGCGGCAATATGTTCGCCTCGGAGGACGGCTTTGCGGCCGCTTTTGGTAAAAGTGACACAACCTCTGCCTCAGGTATGCCTTTAGTTCGTAGTGTAGTGTCTCTTAGTGTTTGTCTTTT